GGCAACCTTCACCAATACATTTAGTCTTGATTATGAGATGAATATTAACAAATGAGTATAAAATGTCCCTTTAAAGCAATGTAAAAACGACAGTCTGAGGAAAAAATGTATAAGAACAAATTCTAAAAAATATTAAATAAAAAATATTGTATTTGATCTTAAAATTGATTGGTAACAAAACATTATCAATCATGCCAAGTGATGAAGCTTTGAATTTGGAATTTGTTGTGACCTAACATGCGCTGAAAGGTTTATTGTAGGCTTGCAACGAATTTCGTTAACAATTACCTGTAAGCAGGTGCATTGCTTTTTGTTGGACTCCTGGGAGGTGTCTTATGTCCTCACCTTTTTGGGTACACGGAGTACTTTGTTGTGCGAAATGAATACTTTCCACCACTTTTTTTGGACTGAATTTTTACATACATACATCGAACTGTATTACGATGCAAAAAATACTTTCAGTCTGATATTCCATTTTTCGACCCCATGCTGTAATTTGGTTAATTAATCAATTAATCGTAGTTTTCTTATACCTCCTTGTCTACTTGAAGCAATCGGGTCACTTTTGTGTGAATATCACTTCCGGTTGAGAACGTAAACTGGCGCGAGCAGACGTTTTTTTTTATGAGAAAATACGTTTCCGAATGCCGGGAAATGGCAAAATCTGTTCTCAAATTCTTCTTATGTATAGTCATACCGACAATCCATGATAATGAATTTCGCAAACTACTGGTAGGTGGTATAAAGTAGTGTATAGATGATAATGTATAGACAGTGGTATGAATACGAACAGCGGTATGAACAGAATTTTCACGGGAAGTAAATCTTCAAAATCCCAATTTCACCGATGTTATTGGATTTAACTCGGTTTTAATGAGATTCAGATCACGTCCGCCATGGTTCCACCGCGCAAGGTGGGGATCTAATTACATTATATAAACCCATTACTTTGGTCATCTTGGTGTGAATGTTGGTCATTTAAGTGGCCAAATCAATGTTTGATTGCTCATATAATTCCCTGGATAACGGCAGTGAGTTGATATGTCTATTGATCGGCCTGACTTGGATTGGTTTAGCAGTTTATTAAGGCGCCATATCAGGACTCGTACGAAAACTCAAGTCAAAAGGTGTTGATACTCCATTTCTTTTCAGAAAAATGATAAGATAAAATTGTCTCTATTAACCTATTGATTTATACGGACCTAAATTAAAGACCGCAGTAACATTTTCCTCAAGAGAGATTAGGATCTGTATAACAGACTCGTTAGGGTTAAGAGCAAATATTCTATCTAGACCTTAGTTTCGTATTGAAGATTTATTGACTCTCCAATAAATTTCGTTTCATAGTATATTTATCATTGAATGTTTCCTTCTCGTCTTCGCAAAACACAAATCAGAATTTGATTTTATCTGAAATGGAACGGGGTGGTTGATCACGGTTCCCTATTGTAGTCGATCTAAGAGGTTATATATTGTGATATAAGTGAATTCGTACGCTTGGTTGTTACAGTGTCTTTGAGTACTTGTTAAATACAGAGATGGGAGCCAATCTTGCAAATTCAAATATCAAGAAGGCCAAACAAATCCACGCAACCAACCCCGAATGTATACCCCTTTTCACAACCAAAGTGAGGATCCTGCTTCGTCTGTTGCTGGCACACATATCAGCAATGTAAACATCCGCGACAATTGTGAACAGTCTTGTGACTGTGCCCAAACATACGAAACTGAGTTCACATGAAACCAACATGATAAAAACACAGCAGTAGGCTCATGGTTACAGAAAAAGACGATTATGCAGACTTTATAACAAAACACGAAAACAAAAAATACTCAGAGAAAATAGTCACCTGTACCGAACATTTGGGAATGCCCACGACGAAAATCATGACATTTGTAGTAGGACGAGGAATAGTGATAAAGATAGTGCCGTCGCTGGGGCTCGAACCCGCAACCCTTGGCTCTCCAGCCCGATGCTCTACCGCTTAGCTAAAGGGAAATTCCCTACAGCTGACGCGTGTAGGGCAACCTAATTAATCCACATCTTTTACATATTCTCTTAGTTAAGGAAAATAATCTGGGTACATTCATTTTTATGGTTCTTTTATTTTTAAGCAATACAGATGGTTTGCGATTTCCACAAAGCTATTTTAGAGACATTCCTGTTACCATTGAACGATCCTTAAAGGGACACGAGGACGGAACAGTGGATACACATTTGCCGCTCCACATACATCTTAGCTAGCCAAGTGTGAGCTTCGTATATACTCCACTTACCCTTGGTGGATATAGCCGTGTTTTCATAATTCCCTCCACTGCCACCTAGCGGATATACCGAGTTATCGTTCTTCTCCCAGCTAACTTTTTACCAATCAGAATGACCGTTACATACACACTCCATCGGCGTGTTGACATACGCACGTGTATGTCGAGGCGGAGCAATATGGAAACAATCCAAAGGCAGCACACATATTTTCCCAGGTCATCATTTACATGTAGCACGTAGTCAAAGATTTCCACCAACTGATTTAACAATAATATTAACATTCACCAAATTCACGACAACGATCTGGGCCCGTATTCGTAAAGCCGGTCTCGTGCTTAAGCATGGATTCTATGCTCAAACCTACTTTCTTACCGCTGGTTTAAATTCATGTTAAACGGTCAAAAAGTCAAATTAAATATTGAAAATGATATTCAGCCCTAAGACTCTCACAAATTCTCCCAGTTCGTTGACAAAGTGTACTTTTTCATAATTTATCACTGGAAAAAGACATTAGGCTTGAACACAAAATAAGACTTTGAGCATGAGAACGGTTTTAATACGGGCCCTAGATGAATTACTTCCTATGCTCTTTGTTTGGTTCTTGCAATAAAGAGGGTTTGCAGAATCAAATAAACTGTTTGAGAGACGGTCCGGATTCCAATGAATGGTACTTAAAGCGACACGGCGAATGAACAAACGTAATCACCGGACTTGACGATCTCCGTTGACAATGATCTGGATTAGTTACATTTAAAGGTTTTAATTTCAGTCAAAACATGATTTGAAGTGTCAACAAAGCTATTTCAGAGACTTCCAGCTACCATTGAACGATACTTAAAGCGATACAAGGACGGAACAAGCGTAATCAGCGGATACACATTTGCCGCTCCACATGACGATCTACGGTTTAAACAAAAGAATCAGGATTTAGACAATCAACCTATCGCCGGTGACGGAATCAATGACGATGACATGTCACAAAGGCTTGTTATTTAAATACACCTCAAAGACAGTCAAACACATTTTGGATTAACAATACACTGAACTTTGAAGATTGAGGAGAGAGGAAGAAACATACGGTCATGTGTTTTTTGTTGTTTTTGTGTTGACATGCAAAGAAGACCGGATAAGTAAAAAGGTGGATTGAGGTGGTGTACATCACACATATAAAGCACAGCAAACCAACATTATATATCAAATTATTTTTTTATTCATTTGACAACAATTATAAAACAAGTTCTTAAAACTTATATTAATTACTCTTGTTGGCCCGGACGTGCGCGCGAGCTACCATTAAAAGTCCAAATAACCAACCTTGAACAATATAAGGTCCGGACGTACAAAGTGATCTGCGACAAACGACCGGCAACATTTTCCACATCATTAACAGGCACGTTCACCTGTGAAGAGAACACTTGGTTAAATAAATAATGGTCCCTGAGATATCCCGTCGGAAGAAATGTACATGTATGAGCACATTTGCATATTACTTATGCTTAAATGCACACCTGTATGGCCTTGAACAGAGTGTAAGAGAACGGTTGAAGCAGGGATATATCTTATGAAAGGTCACATCAACAATGCATTAACGACAGGTCAACAGTACAAGAACATCATGCTATGGTGTATAAAACAATATTACATATTCTATCATGTACATCGTCAAATATGCTTTACTTCTCATTAAAGCACGGAATTCGTTGTTTATACTTATTCAAACGTAGAGGCAATGTTGAATACGGGCTCCAGACGAGCTGCATATCATCTTTCTGATTATAGATATATTTTCATACAACTAATGAGGTGCGAGATTGGGTTTATTTCAGTATAAGGTTAACAATGTCCTTAACCTGTCCCACGGGGTTGGATAACTTTTGTGACGTCACATCAAAAGTGCAGCGATTTAGATATCACTATAGGCTGACAATTATTTCTGTAAAGATTGTATGTATCATCATGTGTTTTTTATCGTATAGGCGATCAAAAATATAATATGTATAAACAAAAGACTTTCTATTCTATGAAAATAAACAAAAATGGCGGACACAAAATGGTGGAGCAAAAACATGTGAGTTTGTTCGAATGACAAGCAATCAGGTTGGAAACAGTGTAGATTTCAATCTTAAGTCACATTTTTACTTTTCATGCAGGAAATCTTTTAGAGATCTCACAATATATCTCCGTTTGCAAACAGCTATAACGTTCTTAAGACTGATTCATCTCCGGTGTGGGGTACGTTAGCTTAGTTTTAATTAGTATAACCTGTTCAAGCCAAATAACAATTCCTTACCCCTTAGATCGCCAAGTCAGCATTTTAACTCTGACTGGAAATATACTGTATTCAGTGTGTACACAGTGTTCCGTCAGCATTCTCGTTAGTTAATACCGGGTAGCCGTGTACCGTTAAACGCTTCCCCTACTTATTGATTCATTTAAACAAATATTGTTAATGTTGGTCAACACAATACAAGACCAGAAATTGCACTGGCATGCATTTATTGAGAGCAATGCAGTGTACATGGGGTAATTGGAAAACCGCGTTGGTCTACCAGGGCCATAACATTAAGGCACGCAACGGGTGCGATGTACCATTTAAATCATGCAATAAAACAATTCTAGCTATGTGCACTGACTGGAACTGCATTGAATTGCGGGCTTACAGAATATTGAGGTATTCTCGTTACGCTGTCGTGTAAAGCAAAACGTAGATCTTAAGAGTACTTTTGTGTGATTTAACAGGCTGTTTAACATCTTCAAAAAACAAGTTTATTAATACACCTAACAAACAAAAGGTTGCATTGTATTTGATAAACATGCAGGGGAAGCTCTGCCTGAACCATGTCCTGCAGTGATTTAACCGTAATGTCAAAGCATACAAAAGAACTGGTCATTTGTGAACGGGTATAGCAGTGGGCTGGGAATAGCTTGGAACGTATGCTGTTGTCTCAATACGCGCAGAGCAGTTTGGGCAGTACAACAGACCGGACGGAGATTTAAAGGTGAGTGATAAAATGAAAATGTTTTGATAGAATTTTGGACTATTTCAAAGAAAGTTTACTTCCCTAACTGCGGTATGTCTGCAGCTTCAAACTGTGCCATAACCAAATGAAATATGTACATAGGTAAAATAATCTGTTTGTTTCGTAAATGTTCATAATATAAATAGAAAGTATTTCCGAACACAACTGTTTAACTATATTCTTTTTACTTTATGGACAAATCGACTATTTTTTGCTATTGTTTTTTATCTATATCAAAGTCAGGACTCAGCAGCAGACCATTCTCTTACCTATCTTTTGTATAATAAGCATTCTGTTTGAAATAAATAAAAAAAAAACATGACTATCTTGTGTGTTCTATCTTATAGATGGACTGGTCTTTCTACCTGGTACGCCTTCTTACTGTAACCGCAACACTGACACTAGGTAAGAGTGTTGGCAACGTGTGGGAAAATGTACGCGGAAGATTAAATCCATGTCTTAATACAACATGCGATTCGCAACATGATGTCTGTGAGTGCTACTTAAGTATTGAACACCGTCTTACCATGATGATTGAAGAAGACCAAACTCTTGTGGTACCGGAAAGAGGCCAGCTGTATGAGTATAACAAACCGAATAGTCCCATTATAAAATCAGAATATGAACCGTATATCTTGTCGGCGGATGGTAACAACTCTCGCGTGGTAATTGCTATAAATCGACTGTTCCCTGGCCCCACAATCACAGCGTACGAGGACCAGACTTTGATCGTCCACGTGCGTAACCTGATGCACACAGATAGCACAACGGTACACTGGCACGGTATGCATCAACAAGGTTCCACCTATGCGGACGGCGTTGCCATGGTTTCCCAATGCCCACTAGGACACGGTCAAGAATTTACTTACAAATTCACGGCTAAACCGCACGGCACCAGCTTCTACCACGCCCACATCGGCGATCAGCGAACAATGGGGTTGTATGGAGCACTAGTGATACGTCCAAAGAAGGAACTGCCAGCAGCAACAACACCAAATGAACATGTTGTCATCTTACAAGATTGGAACCATGACGATGATGCAGCAACTTTGTACCAACGTATGGTATATGGAGTTTACGACCAAGCGAGTAAAACTCCTTACGATACAACGTATTCTGTGGATGGTGGCATGTACAGTAGATTTAGGTTCCATTCCGGATTAGTGAACGGCAGAGGTCGCTATTACAAGTCATTTTCAGAACATAATGGGGCTCCTCTGACAGTGTTTGATGTGGCCGTAAACAGTACCTACACATTTAGAGTAATAAGTGCAGCCACTCTCTACCCGTTCCGTGTGTATGTAGACGGACATCCACAAATAACAGTTGTGGCCTCGGACGGATTTGCATTAAAACCCATGGTTGTTGAATCGTTCATCATAAATCCAGGGGAGAGATATGACTTCATACTATTTACAGACAAGCCGAAAAGTAACTACTTATTAGTTGCTCAGACACTGGAAGTTGAAACTGATATCGAAAGAAGGGGTGAGTACCACGTGGCAGAAGCTATTATCCATTACATTGGTGGAGAAAGACTCCTAAACCCGGGCAAAAGCATCAAAACTCGGTGTACCGTGTCGCAGCCATGTGTGATATTCAATTGTCCTTATCTTCTTCCTACAAATGGAAGTGAAATTTGTCAGAATTATAACGACGCTAGAACAGATGATTTCAACTCTCGGCCACACGATGTCGCCAATATTGATGAAGAGCTTTTCTTTAACTTTGCTTTCTCAGGACCTGTGGGCTTTATGGAAGGATCAGTAAATGGCCGTCGGTTTGTACCCCCAGTTGCCCCCTTATACTCACAGCCCGAAGCCATCAAACAAACATGCGATCCAGATTGTGAGGACAAAACCTGCAGATGCACTTACATTCAGGAGATAGAAAATGGAAAGGTGTACCAGTTTACTCTGACCAATCTTGGAAACGGGAAAGGATGGTCACATCCGGTACATTTACATGGACATTCTTTTTACGTCATGAAGATGGGTTTTGGCCGGTACAATTCCAGTGGATTCCTGATTGATACCACACCAGACATATCGTGTTCTCGCGGATCGAAGGGGTACTGCAACAATCCTATTTGGGCCAATGATAGTTGGAATGGAGGGAACGTTCCGGATCTTGTTTTACACGATACTGCACAGAAAGACACCATCATCGTCCCTACACACGGTTATGTCGTCATCAGGTTCAAGGCCGATAACCCTGGTGCCTGGTTCTTTCATTGCCACATTGACCTCCACAATACAAACGGAATGGGGATGGTGATCATCGAATCGCCAGAAATGTATCCTACTGTTCCGGACGACTTCCCAAAATGTGGCGATTTTACCGGAGATGGCAAGAAAACCGAAGGTTTGTATATTAAAAAGGAAGTGTCATCCATATCGTATTTAACCGCTCCTATGTACAAAATTTACCTTAAAGTAGAATTGTTTTGCGGTGTGGAAGTGTTTGCGTTCTTAGTGTTGGGTATAATACCACGAATACATCCACGCGCGAATATTTGTTTATAGATAATATAGAAAATTGTACTTTTGCGATGGTTAATAACCATTTATAAATGAAAAATAAACCATCCGCGTACTTGTATGGTCATATGCTCTTCCAAGAACCTCTTCCGCTAATATAAATAAGCAAGCCGTCGGAATGTTATCCTTTGTCGAATGAGGTTACACGCATTTAACTATTGTTACATATTTGAAAGTTTGCTAGTGAACTTAGCGCGAAGATGACTTGAGATAGTGTTGTTGTTGTTTTGTAAATCTGCCAAATGCTGATTTCATGTGTTGACGAGCGATGTCGATAGAAAAGTGGTTTAGATGGATTGAAATAAACATCTGGCATACAGTATGACGTCAGTGTTTATTGTTTATCATCTGTCGACCAAATGGATACTGAAATTGAGAACTTCTTCCCGCAGGGTCAGAAATGATGAAAACACACAGCTTGTTGTAAAATGAAGACATGTACGCATCACGTGACGAATGTTAGCGCGCCCGCCTAATCTAAATAATGATCTAAGTCATCTTGCTTGTCATAAGCATATGGACACTGATTTAGACACGAAAAAGACTTTTATAACATTTAGCCTGAAAACAATTACCTCAAGCCGCAAGCGGCCTTTGTTAATTCTTTTCTCTCCAGTTTTCTCACCCTTGTTATACCAATACATGCATACAGTTGATAACTTCTTTAATAGAATATACTGATTTCAGAACTTTCAACAACGCACAAATGTCCACAACGCGAAAAGTTTAAAAAATCAATACCAACATTTCATACGCGGAAATTTCCACTTTGTCAGTATACAAGATGAATGACATTCGTTGTACATGTGTCCCGTACACAGTTCGCAAGGAATATTAGTGTAAGACTTGGCTAAATTAAATTCTTATACGCTTTCACCGGTAAAATCATCAATACTTTTTAGTTGTTTCCACAATGCAATGAATCGATCGATCAGAAAGCAGGGTTTTGTGTGTAAAATAACAAACACTGGCTTTGTTAACTGTGACGTCACTGGAACTATGAAGTTTCTTAATTTGACGTTGTAGTACAACATTCTTTGTCTTAATATGTTTTGGTGGTGTTTATCAGTTTACAAAAATCAATATTTTCATTAAGAAAACTTTTAAGCTTAAACTTCTTTGTTTACCGATGAATATAAATGTTATTCATGATTCAACTGCTTAGATGAATATGCTTCACATTTTCTTACGGGCATTATTCAAAAGTATAACTTGATGTTATTTTCTTGTTCCAGTATGCCAAGATTCACCAACAGGTCCTGGGTTCGGCGCTGGCATCGGTGTCGGTATTGCCATCTCTATAGTGGTGGCCTTGATCATCGGCATCATTTGCTGTTGTTGCCGTAGATAATTAGGACATGACGTGGTACACGTACAACGACTGCAAGGCACACGGAGAACAGTCTCTCTCTCTCTCTCTCTCTCTCTCTCTCTCTCTCTCTCTCTCTCTCTCGTGCCGTGCATTCATGGATTAAGAACTTTGCCTGACGAAGAAAAAGATGTAAATATATTCTTTTGATCAATCCTATGATCTAGTGGTTATTTCTTAATATTTACCTTTTTATATATGTACACTGTATATATTTGTTTTTTTCTTTTTGGCAGATATCATGCGTTTGTGTGTATTTTTAAACAAGATGCGTTCCTACATTTATTATACAAAAAACACCTACCGTGGTGTATCCTATTTAGTTAAACAATCACGTCCTGAAATAACAATAACGTGTTGGGTTTTTATTATTTAAGTTTGCATATTTACATTGTTTTAAGAATATCAAATTGTTGTGTGTCAACAATACACTTAGTATGACTTTCTCAAATGTAAATTGTTGTAAATCCTGTACATTCGTAATTATGTAACAAGAATAAAAATCAAGTGTTGATTACGCAATTTTGTCTTCAAAAAAAAATAAAAAAACATTTTGTAAAAACTGTACACTCGAATGATTACGTTGCTTACACAAGATTGTAGTGTTCAGTCATAGGATGATGCTGGATGAAACAGATTTAACCTAATATGTACAAAGTACAAGCAACACCATTGAAGGTCTTACGTTGAACTTCCGGTTTGTTCACACTTACTAGTACTGCGCATGTCCAATAAAATATGTTTAAGTATGCTTGAACATCACTACAAAGATGATCAAACAATTACATACACTGAAGTAGAAGTCTTGTGACATATGAAATCCTCTGATGCGTACGTAATCTACTTATTATTGAATTGATGACGCCATACATATCTCAAATATCTAAATAATTTCGAAGTGGCATTAGCATATTCAGTAATATATATCTCGAAAGGCACAATATAAAACAATCTACTAATTACTGAACTATGTATAAACTAATTACCCTTAATAATAAGTAAATTCCTATCCACAATAAATATACAAATTATTTAGTTTTCAGGAATTTTTTGAACGTTTACACTTTTTTCTTATTTTTTTTCATTTAGTGAATTCTTTATTGTTTAAATCATAGTTAACACCGATGAAAAAAAACCACTAGTACGTGTGCATGATGAAGACCCGATATCGAGATGTTGCTCGGAAATGTATATTTTCACAAATGTTAATTTTGATGGTTGATATATAATAACATTAACGTAATGTGAATATACCGCTTTTCACATGACTACCCTATTATCAGTGTAATAACAACCATTATTTAATTTAGATTATTACCACGCTTTAAATAACACATTGACTGGTTTAGATTTGTCAGTCTGTTTACATTTCGTAAGTTATTCGTGACGTATTCCGTCAACAAAATAACCTAAATTTTCTTAGAGTTGAGGTCAAATCTAATTGTTTTAACGTCAACGATACGGTCGACATATACAACATTGGACTAGCAATAGACTGTTGATATCCTAGCCGACACATGTTGTCTGTGTCGTCTGCTACTCAGCAGCAGACGCCACAGTCGGGTACAAGCAAACATTCAGGGTTTTAACATGTTCAAAATGAAGATGTCAACAGATTTGTGGACAACAATCAAACAAAAACACATTTTAAGACACGTTTTATAATACAAAACTCCTCAATTTGTTTCCGGAAACATGAACGAAACTAGACGGACTTATGACATTTCGCCAGAAGAGTTGTATCCCTTACTCTGTAATTCGTTGTAAAGCCGGAACCAAGCACGAGCCAAGTTATAATCGTGGATTTGTGTACAAATTGGACATGTTACTAAGGCGTTCTAACTACAGTCATTCTAAGCAAATGCAGACACTTTAAGCAAACTGCGTGATGTCCTATACATGCTAAACACTAAGAGCTTATGTTGAAGACAATGTTTTGTGGCGTATCTGTTCTATCTCATCTTGTCGCCCCAGGAAGAGGAGAATCAACAAACCTATAATTGTTGATGGTTTGTCT